GGGCTTAAGAGCGGGAATGGTGCCTCAGATGCGTGTCCAAGTCGAGCTGGTGGCAACATCCATCTAATTCTGGGGTGCAAGGCAAGTTTCGCAGTAAAAAATCTTTTGTTGGATCTATTACTATTACATTGGGAAGATCTGAGAACTTCTCCACTATGCACACTGGGTTTTAAGGCTGTGTCAAAAAGTTTGTGTCTTTTGCTTAACACTTGGAGCACTGCGTCCAGTGCTGGAGCCCTCAGGAAAGACATGGACCTGTTGGAGCAGGTCCAGAGAGGACCACTAAAATGATCGGAAGGCTGGAGCACCTCTCCTACAAAGACATGCTGGGAGAGTTGGGAGTCTTCAGCCTGGAGAAGAGAAGGCTCCAGGAAGACCTTGTGGGAGGTTTCCATACTTAAAGGGGGCCTGTAAGAAAGATGAGGACAGACTTTTTGGCAAGGCCTGTTGAGACAGCACAAAGGGCAATGGTTTGAAACTAAATTAGGGTAGAATCAGACTAGACTTCAGGAAGAATTTTTTTTACAACGAGGTTGGTGAAACACTGGAACAGCTTGCACAGAGAGGTGTTGGAGCCCCCACCCCTGGAGCCATTCAAGGCCAGGTTGGATGGGGCTCTGGGCAACCTGATCTAGTTGAAGGTGTCCCTGCGCTCACTGCAGCGGGGTTGGGCAAGATGACCCTTAAACCCAACCAAAACTATTTTGTGATTCTATGATTCTATGATCTATTAGCCTTACAAAACCTCCTCCTTACTCACTCCAGTTCTTTCCTACATTTGAACAAGACCACCGACACTTTCAGGAAATGTCTTTTTCTAAACCAAGTTGGTTGTAGATTCAGAGAGCAGCAAGCGTGGGCTTGCTCTGTGAGGGAGGATGAGCCTGGAGCTGAGGTCCCTCAACAGCTCCAGAAAAGGTGAAGGTCTAGAGTTTAACCAGGAGGAGTCAGGGATGGGACAGAGACAAGACTAAAGACAAGGCTACGGCACAGGTCAGAGATGGACATGGCCAAAACGGGTTCAGAACCAGACACAATTGCAACGTTTCTTAAACAAGGATTGAACCTGACCTGCTCCTGGACCCATGGGCAAGGCGTGGGAGGACTGTGATATTTTAGCCCGAGGATTTGAGACTTGCTGAATGCAGGTGTCCACCTATCTGTTGTGCAGACACTGAGGATGGAGATCAACAAGGGCTGCACAGTGAGAACCAGCCGAAGGAGGGAGATTCGTGGTGCCAGGACGGCCCTGTGTTGGCTAAAGAACGAGGCCAGATGGAGACTAACGATGTCAGCACCATGCTGCAAACAGATAAGTTGCTTCAAAACAGAATTCCAAAGGCCACAAGTTCCAGAGTGGAATTTTTTGCCTTGATATCCCTATTTGACTCTAGTCAGCCACTCTCCACTCAGATCATGCCAAATGTCACCCCGGGGCGGGGGGAGATAGTACATGAGGAGCATGGAGGCAGTGTGTTGATGATGGGAGAGAACAAACCCAGAAGAGGCAGTCGACGGGCTGTGCTCCTTCTCCTTCACCCAAGACAGGGACGCCGCCTTGGTAAGAATTGTGCTTTCACTTTTTGGTGAGAAATACCTCTGGGTAGCCTCTGGGCCCTGATGGGTAAAACGACTCACTACTCACAGGATCCGAGTGCTCTACAGCAGTTGCAGAGTTGAGATCTGATATCCCCCTTTTCAGTGCTTCAGGTTGTGTGGGACAACCCTGTCCTGCCCCAGCTCTTTCCACGGGTGTTCAGTGATGGGTCACAGCCCTTCAAAGAACTCACATGCCGCTGGAGTTGTCCAAAAAGACAAATCCCTTATCTTGCTAGCGATGGGGAGAGGTTGTCTCGGCATGTTGGAGGTGACACTGCTGATGTTTGTCTCCTGCAGCCTGGCCCTCCTGGCTCATACCACTCGCTGCAGCTGTAGCGTCCCACTGAGATGGGAAATCTGGATGTCACAGCTCCAGCTCCATCTGAGCATCCCTCCTGTGCACAGAGGAGAGAGAAACTGAAACACAGGGCTCCTAAACCAGGAGGGTCTATTCTCCAGACAAATGTGGCCTTTAGGATCCTGGGTGCCACCCAGACACCCAAGTTTCCAAAGCAGTGAGTTGTGCAACCCACTGAGGGCCTCCTTGGAAACTGAATTAAATGGGGAGGAGTGGATCCAGCTGGAGGGTAAACACAATAAAAATGGCTGCCTATGTAGAGAAATGGATTAAGGCAGCCTGGAAATGGGTTCCTGGGGAAGTTTCTGATGCCTTTGGGTATCTGAGGCCGCTGCACTGAGAACAAGAGACACCGCACAGGGCTTCAGAGTGACTCCCCTCCATTGGCACTGGCAGAAGAAGGTCAAGGAGACACAGCCTGTAATAGCTGAAATGCACCATCTTCTTCCATTGAGAAGCAAAGCATCGACAGGATGAGGAGGGCTCGTGTCCAGCCTGTGTGTGTGCACTCTGCTTAGGTTTCAGCGTGAGACTCCCAAGAGAATCATAGAATCATCGAATGGCCGAGGCTGGAAGGGACCTTAGAGATCATCTAGTCCAACCTCCCTGTCATGGGCAGGGATGCCTCTCAACTAGATCAGGCTACTCAAGGCTCCGTCCAACCTGGCCTTGAACACCTCCAGGGAGGGGGCAGCCACGACATCTCTGGGCAATTTATTCCAAAGTCTTGCCACCCTTGTACCCTTCCTAAGATCTAATCTAAATCTATTCTCCCTCAACTTATACCCATTTCCCCTTGTCCTATCAGCGGACGCTCTTGTCAAAAGTCCCTTCCCAGCCTTCCTGTAGGTTCCCTTCAGGTATTGGAAGGTAGCTATTAGGTCCCGCTGAAGTCTTCTAGAACTTTTCCAGACTGAACAATCTCAGCTTTCACAGCCTGTCCTCATAGCAGAGGTGCTCCAGCCCCTGGATCATCCTTGTGGTCTCCTCTGAACATGCTCCAACAGATCCATGTCCCTCTTTATGGTGGAGGCACCAAAACTGGACGCAGTATTCAAGGTGGGGTCTCACAAGAGCAGAGTAAAGAAGGTGGCAGTGGCATTCAAATCTCTTGTCCTCAGCAGCTACAGCAAAAACATCTCTCTCTAGTGGGCCATCCTCTCCTGCCTTTACTTCTGGGGTAGAGACAGAGAAGCTTCTCCTAAGGTGCAAGTCCGAGGATCTAGAAGAAGTCCCAGCATAGGAGCAACCTCCCTTGGAGGACGCAGGACTTCAAACTCAAAGTACAACATCAATGGATAGATCAGGAGGGGTGGATGGATAGATGGAGGGATGGATGGACAGGTGAGCAGATGGATAGTTGGATGGATGGGTGATCGGGAGCACCACCCCTGCCTGGAGGTATTGGTGAGGTTTACAGCAGCTCAAAGCTGCCATCCCAACAGGGAGCAAATTAGATTGCTTTCACTGTGTGTAATCCCTAGAAAGCTGAGAGGCAGAAAAAACAGCTCTGGGAGACTGAAACATGCTTTATACCCCAGGACACTGCACAGAGCAGAAGAAGACGTTTGGGTGCTGCTGGAGACTCTCGTCGTAGCTGCTTGGAGAAAGCTGCAAGGGCAGCGCAATGCCTGAGCCCCGACTCAGAGTTTGGATGTAGGTGAGACCCTGACCTTGGTCTTCACTCTCAAGCAGCATCAGCACAGAGATCTTCACACTGAAGGGGGGTGCTGGGGGATGCTGGGGCAAGCCTGGGTGTTGCTATTTAGTGAGTGGGTCTTTGTCAGTGGATTGCCCCTTCCTCCCTGCACAAAATCACCTTTTCTCCCCAAAGAGCTTCAAATTAGGAGCTTTTAGACATTCACTTATACAATGTCATTGCATGGTCCCTTGAGCATCTCAGCTTGTAATCCCTGACCTGGACCTGGGACAGGAAAAAGGGGAAATTGTCTCTTCCTAAAATAAGAATTGAGATATCTGATGCTGTGCAGTACCAATCTTTTTTTTTTTTTGGGGGGGGGGGGGGGGGGGGGGGGTTGAGGCAGTGGTGAGAAAGAGTGTTGTGTACTTTCACTGATGGATCTCTTGGGCAAGGGGGAGATGCTTTTTTTGCCTCTCTGTTCCACAGCTTTCCCGTCGTAGAGCAAAGGATTTCAGTCCTTGAAACGTCAGCGGCGTGCTCAGGGGAGAACCGTGAAGGCAGGAGACGCAGCAGAAGGGCTTTGTGAGCGCTGAATTAGGAGTTTTGTCCCACAGTGACAATGTGAAACAGTTCATGGGCCGGATCAGAAGCAGACTCTCACCCAGGAAAAGCTGTTCTTCACCTTTCCCTAGTCGGGGAACCCTTCACAGGCCCAACGGTGCTACAGAATGGAATCACTTGCTCTTCACATTCAAAGTCCTTTTTAAAGGTTTGTTCACACATTCTTTCCAAATAGAATACAGGTATGTCCTTCATTAAATGTGTCCCTCTTCAAAATGGGGCAAAAAAGAAGACCAAATTGTGTTGGTGATGGAGAAAGGACAAGATAATGGGACATCAGCATTGGGGTTCCTCCTGGTGGGAATGGGGGATGTCCCGGTGCCCCAGGCAGGGCTCTTCCTCCTCTTGCTCATCATCTACTTGGTGACTGTGCTTGGGAACATCCTCTTCGTTGTGCTGGTGGTGGCAGAGCAGTGTCTGCACACTCCCATGTACTTCTTCCTGGGCAGTCTCTCCTCCTTGGAGACCTTCTACAGCTGCACCATCCTGCCCTGGCTGCTGGCCAGCTTGCTGACTGGGCGCAGGACCATCTCTGCTCACGGCTGTGTGGCTCAGTTCTATTTCTTTGCCGCTTTTGCAACTACTGAATGTTACCTGCTGGCAGCCATGTCCTATGACCGGTGCCTGGCCATCTGCCAGCCCCTGCTCTACGCAAGCCTCATGACCTGGAAGGTCTGTCTCCAGCTGGTGGCTGGGTCTTGGCTACTGGGATTGCTGGTCTCCACAGTACTGACTTCTTTCTTGCCCCAGTTACAGTTCTGTGGCCCCAGGACGATCGACCACTTCTTCTGTGATTTTACCCCGTTGCTGGAGCTTGCCTGTGGGCACACCAGCACAGCCACACTTGTGGCTTTCATCTTTGGCTTCTTGGATGTGGTCTTCCCCTTCCTGTTCACGCTGGCCTCCTATGTGTGCATCATAGCTGCCATCCTGAGGATCCCATCCAACGTGGGCAGGCAGAAGGCCTTCTCCACCTGCTCCTCTCACCTCACCGTCGTCACCGTTTTCTACGGCTCCCTCTTTGTTGTCTACGTTGTGCCCAGGACAGCCCCGCTGCGGCAGCTCAGCAAAGTGTCCTCCTTCTTCTACACTGTCCTCACGCCCCTGGTCAATCCCCTTATCTACAGCCTGAGGAACAGGGAGGTCAGGAGGGCCCTGAGGAAAGGACTCCGGAAAGCCCTGGCCTCCATCCGGACTTTGTAGTTTGTATTAGACCGTGGTGTAGAAGCAGTCCCTCTCTGAACTGCTGAGGATGAAGCGTGGGAAGGTGCATGTTGCACACCAGGTATCCTCCAGATCCCTGTGCCTCGTGGGTGTTTGTGAGACAAAGGATGATGGGGGGGGCCAGTTCCTTAGAGATCTTTTTTTTTTTACTTAGAAGAAAGTCCCTGCTTGCGTGTATCATGACCATGAATAAAAGTGTGTACTTTTCCACTGGATGATCTCTGCTTTTCTTGTGGGGATAAAAGAGGACTCAAGCTCAAAATGAGAGCTGGCATTGTCCGAGTGTGGGTTCCTCTGGGGCTGCTCATCTCTGACTTGAGCAAACCGAGGTGTGTGAGGACGAGGAGACAAACAGAGGCGTTGGGGAATGGGAGGGCACCTGAAGGGGGTCTTGTTTCCCCACCGTGGTCAACAGCACTCCTGCCTCTGAGCAGGGCCATCTATGACAGGTGGTCTGTGATTCAGCCCATCCAGAGGTCAATGCTAACAGAGGCCTCACGCAGTCTGCCTCCTCGGGTGGTCCAGTGCAACTGAAGAAGGATTTCTGTCTGGCACGTCCACCTGGGGAGAGGAACCATCTCTCAAGTCTGGCTCCTGCCAAGAGTCCTCCCCTCACTTCTCTTGCAGCATCTGGAGTGACTCCAGGAGGAGGTGAACATGCCCATGGTGGGGACACCTGTCCACCCTCAGCAGAGAGACCTTTTCTATCCCATGGGGACCAGAGTCCCAAGGCTTGCTATATCCTTGCTTGGTGATCCTGAGCTTCAACAGCTCTCCAAACTTTTCGTCCTGATGTCACTTGTCTCATGAGATCTGGCCTTATGATACAGCCAAGGATGTCACTCTGGGCCTGATGGGCCAGGAGAGGTGGCCAGCTCCAGTGAGAGGCAGAGCCTCAGGGACCAGGCCGTGGCCATGAGGAGCCATAAAAAGAGACGGGAAGTTTGGGCAGGGTGAGGAGGCATGGCCCTCGTTATGGCTGGGGTCAGAGACAGTGTTTCCAGGACGTCCTGAACGTTACTCAGTGTACCCCTCCGTCCCTCCCCTGATGGATCAGCAGGGCCCAGCTCCAGCTGTGCTCCTCTGGCTCCATCTGCAGCCCTGCTCATTGTTCTTCATCTTTGCCCACAAAGGGTGGGGAACCCTCCATGTGCCTCAACACCTTCAGCTCTCAGATGAGCAAGCTCCTCTTGCCATGCCTCCTTCCTTGCTAGGAAGACTTTAAACCATGTCTGCTCCAGAGCCCAGGGAAGCGGTGGTCTTTGGTGTCTGGCTCCCCACAGTGCCAAGTACTTTTTCTGAGCAGGCATTAGAGATCTGTGGGTTGCTCATATGGGCATGGCTCCTTGCTGTCCAAGAAGGTCACGCTGTGGGGATTACAGCAGTACTGAGCTTGTGTCTTCTGAGGAAATCTAAGATGTGAGGAAGAGAAAGGCTAAGAAGAGAGGCTGGAGGAGATGAGTATCATCTGGCCAAGAATTCCTCATAACAGAGGAATTCCTTCCAACCAACCCAGGTGGAGGGATCCCCATGGAGATTTCCTACACTCTAGGAGTGTCTGAGTACCCAAAGAAGGTGCTTTCTGCTCCACTCCTTGCCCCCTGTAAGGACCTCTCTCCCCATGCTCTGGCCTTCTGGATCCTTTACTGAACTGGTGCCTCTGGTCAGGGCCCCTCTGAGCACCCTCCATCCTGCTTCCAAAGATGTGAAGGACAAGGGGGTGATGGGAAGTAGTTAGCGTGGATTCACAGAGGGATGAGACAGAGCCACCCTCAGCAGTGTGCTGGGGTTCAAGGTGCAGCAGATGCAACAGGCACCAGTTTCAGAGCTGGGAGGAGTGGCTGATACACCAGAGGGTCGTGCTACCACCCGAGGAGATCCGGGCAGGCTGGAGAAATGGAACATCAGGTTGTGCAACAAGAGGAAGTGCACCTAGGGAGGAACAACCCCAGGCATTCGTATGTGCTGGAGACTGACCAGCTGGAAAGCAGCTTTGCAGGAAAAGACCCGGGGATCCTGGTAAACAACAGCTGTACCACCAAGTCAAGCCAGACGCATGTCATTGTGGCAAAGAAGGACAAGAGCACCCTGGGCTGCCTTTGGCAGAGGGTTGCCAGCAGGTCAAGGGAGGTGATCCTGCCCATCTGCTCCGCGCTGGTGAGGCCACATCTCCAGTGCTGTGTCCAGTTCTGGGCAACATACTGGAGTGAGTCCAACAAAGATCATGACAGGTTTGGAGCCTCCCTCCTATGAAGAGAGGCTGAGAAAGCTGGGACTGCTCAGCCTGCAGAAGAGAAGACTCAGAGGGATCCTATTCATGCTGATAAATATCTGATGGGAAGGTGCAAAAAAGACAGAGCGGTGGCTGGTGACAGGACCAGGACACCCCAGATGCTACTGCAAGGAAGCCAGAGTTCTTCTATGTTCTCCTGCCACTCTCCAGCTTCACTTGGAGCCAATCCAGAGCACCCAAAATGATTCTCAGGGCTTATGTTTAGGCATCTAAGTCACTCTTCTGCCTCTTGATGAGATTTAATTGAGGCCGAGAAGTGCCTGTTCCACTTTAATGCTGATAAGGATGTTACTGGGTGACCAGCTCAGGGAGACACGTCTATATAGTTAGAGATATATAGGTGAAAATGTCGTGAAGCAGGTCCCCAGATCCCCGTGTGGAACGGCAGGAGAAGGAGCACGCTCCCTATTAATATATGAAACCAGTGTGGTCCACCAAACCTCAGCGGACAAGGGAGTTGATTTAATTTTTTGAACATTCCAAGTGACTTCTTCCGACTCTGACTCTTATAAGCACTGATCCACAAGCTCCAAGATGTGTGTGACCGAGCAGTGTGAAAAGCACACGAAAAAGGGCATCTGGATGACAAGGAGAACTGGACAGATGGGAAGGGCTCACATACTGTTGGGGGGTGGGACAACAAGCTTGGCCTCCACAGGAGCGTGGATGAACAACGACAAGCGAGGAAGCCCAAATATTATACTGAGCCCGATGATCCAAGGGCTTTCACAGGAGAATGACCTCTTCTCCAGGGGGAAAACCCATCAAAAGAAGCCAACAGGAGAGGCTCTCCAGGTCACCTCGGTGGACAGAGGATGTTACTACCTGGAGGGTACAGGTCTCCTCATGGGAGGCAGGGGAGAAGCATTTGGGGATTGCACTTGAGTTATCATGGGGGGTTGAGGGGAGGAAATGGAAGCAGGGAAGGAGAGGGGTCAAGGCGGATTGGGGAGGAACAGAAGTGGGGAAACGGAGGAGGGATGGGCAGATCAAAGGGAGCAGTGGCATGTTACTGGCCCTTTGACTTTCCCTTCTGAGTCAGCACCACAGGGAGAGATGTTTAGATTTCTTCGGATAGTTTCATCGCTAATAACTCTCAGCAGGCCCCATTAAAACTCCAAGAAACTGTGTTCTCGTGTTTACTGTTTGCACTAAGAAATTTTCCCAGGAGATCTTGCTACAGCGGTAAAAATATGACGAGCCTATTATTCCCCCCAGTTTTCTGTACAGCCACAGGGGACGTGTTCTCCAAGGAAGAGTTTTGCTAAGCTTGATGACTTTAATGATTGCATGATGTGTTATTTTTGTTGTTGTTGTTGTTTTTCAGAGTTATTATACTTCAAATGAACTTGGTTACCTCAGTTTCTGGTGGAGTCGCGGATGGAGTGACACACTTTGCTCGAACAGTAGTAATATATTTATTGATATATGACATAGATTTAGCAAAGTTTGATAGAAAATGCAACAGTGGTTCAACAAGACTCGATGGCAAGGTACTCTTGAATATTTACTACATGGGAGAAACGTACAAAGGAAAATGGAATTAGAATCGATTTAGAATGATTTCCAAAGAGACCTGAGATGCAGAAAGGTAAGGGGGAACCTTGCTGAATCACAAGGTTCACAGTGGACCCCCTTGCTGTCCAAAGTCCTGATGGAGTTAAGGGGTGGCTAGGTCCAACCTTAGTCCCGCACTTGGCCAGTGTTTTATGCCTAATGAAAGAGATTCACGGGGTGAGAAACCCCCCTGTTGAGTCACGAGGCTCAGGAAGGACCCACTTGCTTTCTAAACTCCTTCTCAGAGAGGAGTCCAGGTGCAGTTGGATCCAATCCCAGACCCAGGATTGGTCAGCAGCTCATGTCTAAAGGATTCTATATGTGCAATCAATCCTTTACCTCACTTAGCTAAGATTTCAAAGCCAAGCATGTTATTCATCACTTACCAAGAATCTGTTACAGCCAGGAATCTCTCAGCCAGGAGGAACAACCTTGAGAGGTGTCCCTCAAGGGGAGATCCTGGATGCAACCTGCAACGGGCCCGGGGCTGCCCGGTATTTATGGAGCAAGATGTGTGACTCAGAGTCACATTTACATCCCGACTACAGATGTTATCAGGCCGAAATGTGACCTGAGTCACACATTGACCAGCACCATGGTTAGGTGGGCGTGTTGCTCAGATTAGCCCTTGGCTGTTGTGTTGTTCGCTGTCTCCCCCTAATCCACGTGACCAGACGCATCCATTATGACCACCACTGGTGGCTGCCACTCGAGCAGGGTTACGGGGAGCACACCATCACACTCTGCCCCGTGACCACGGCCAGCAGATGATGCCCTCACAGCGTGGTGGTATGGTCACTTCTTGCCTCTGTGCAAGAAGTTGTTACTTCTGTGGAAGCTGGTGGATGAGCAGCTCGACATGAGCCATCTGTGTGCATGTGCAGCCCAGAAAGGCAGTTACGTCCTGGGCTGCATCACGAGGTGCTTGGCCAGCAGGTTGAGGGAGGTGGTTCTCCCCCTGGAGTACTGTGTCCAGTTCTGGAACCTGTACTACAAGGAGGATATGGACATGCTGGAACATGTCCAGAGAAGGGCCATGAGGATGCTCAGAGGGCTGGAGCAGCTCTCCCGTGCAGACAGACTGAGAGAGTTGGGGCTGTTCAGTCTGCAGAAGAGAAGGCTCCGAGGA